GGGGGGAAGGAGGTAAGTGGAAGGGGTGGGAGTGGAGGTAATGATTTAGCCTCGGGGTCGTGATGGAGGGGAGCGAACTGGAAATGAGTTGGAACCTTGGCTGGCTGGAAGTAGGGATTGGAAACAGCGTCGAAGTTTGTGTGAGGATGACCCTATGCCTTTCCGCTGAGCCGAGCCGAGCCGAGTTTTATCAGTTCCCGTTCGGCTTGAATTTTTCCACAATTTTTCGGTTGTTGTTAATGCCGCGCTTTGAACTCAAGGAATGTCTTAGACGCTACTGGCGATGCTGAAATTTGCATTTCAGTGATGGACAGCGACTCGAGTGATCAGAAGACTGAATTTATCAATCTGGTGCCGATGCGCGTCCGGCATGACAGCGTGCAATCAACAGTTGCTGATTGTAATTCATAGTTATTCACGGATTTATCTGTGTGTGTGTGTGTGCGTGTGCCGGCAGCAACTTGCCCGCAACTTTGAACCCCGGAACCACAAAAGCTAGGAAGCTAAAAATTTAGACGCATGTTCCTCGCCCATGTGTGACCCCGCAAATTTAAATTCAGCCTCCCCGTACCGGCAGATAACAGTGCGGCCCGTAAAAGCTTTAGCGGGAAATTTCGGGAACTACGGAAACTAGGAAGCTAAAATCTTATGTACTTTCTGGTACCTCTTGCGTGATTCTACGCGAATTTTATGGTACTCCGTACCATCTCGTCCTTTCGCAAGGCTTTTCTGGTAGTTTGAAGCGAGGTGGTATTGTTGTGTTAAGCAAAATGGGTGCTTTAGAACTCGTTTTTCTTCCTTGAATTTTTGGCTTAGGAAGATGAAAGTTACAATTTATGAGTTATTTTCGATGGTGAATTTGAATCATATTAATAGAGAATTTAACTGGAAAGGCACAAAATAGTTTGTGATTTTGTTGTACCAAACAATGGAAAAAATCGCTGCAGAACCGCTAAATTTTAGCTAAAAAATGTCATTTTATAAAAAAGCTACGCTTAAAATAAGTAAATAGATGCCATTTTTGAGCTAGAAGTGACAGAGGGTTGAGGAAAAATTACGATCCTAAGCAAGAAATACAAGAACTGAAGTGCATACTCTAGAAATTTTGGCCTCCCAGCCTTTCTGGTTTTCGAGTTAGCAATTTTTGCACCAAAAAAATTTCGCGGGACCGCACATGAGTACCACGCACATCTGGGGCTGGATTTGAAATCCTTGAGTTTTACCAGAGCTGAGAAAATCTCTTTAAAATTTCAGTCTCCTAGCTTTCTCCGGAATGTTGGGCACACCACATCGGTATTAGCTAATATTTAAATAAGCTTGTTTTTTGAATCGACTTGCTGTTGCTGCAGATAAATGGATGAGCCCCTTTTTAAACATGCAGATCTTGCGCACGATACGAACTGGATTCCGAATGCGGAGCCTACACTGGATTCCGATCGAATGGTCACAGGCGTTGATGTTATGTCCTATTTTATGCCGCCAAGCACGTCAGTGGGTCTCCAGGCGGAAGCATCGCCACTGGACCGGTTCATGCGAAATGAAATCGCCTACAGTGACTTCATACAAATGACTGGTTTGTTCATTAAAAACGTCGAAATTCTTCATTTTGTGCGATGAAAAACTCAAGTATGAGGCAAGTGAACGAGGGCAGGATATATACAGTTAATATTGATGATTTCAAAATAACAGTAAGAAATGTATACGACTTAATGAACCGCCTAACAATTTTTTAAAAAATTTTTATAAAAATTGTTTTTAAAAAATTTGAAAATTATGGTTCTTTTCTATTTTCTCTTTTTCCTTTTTCTTTCTTTCTTTACATTACTTTCTCTTCACTACTGACTTTCAGAGCAGATCAGTTTTTTTTTTTGGAAATTGCAATTCTTCAGGAGGCATTGGATTGGAAGATGAAACCGATGATTATGACGCTGCCATTGTTGCTGCCGCCGCTGCAGCTGAAAGTAGGCGCTTTCCCTCACTTAAAACCATTTTCAGGGATTTTCTCTAAACGCTGTCACTAGCTTTGAGATGATGTTCATTTCAGCATCTGCCAAACGAGCACGAACTGCACGGTCTGCTGCTACGCTACGGTTAGTAGTTCCTGTCGTACTGCTTCAGCGCTTTTCACACCTCAGTAAGCATAGGACGGGAGATCGTGTTGCATCCCTAACTGACACTAGTTTTTTTTTTCAGAGAAGGTATGATGGAAGGCGATGAGTTTGAGCAGCAGCTCAAAACTGATGTAACAAATGAAGAGTTAAACGACGATGTTTTTGATGATGATGACGAGCTGGCAGAAACATCCTCTGTTAGTTATGCATCAGTTTCCTCTCCGCAGTGGGCCAACAACGCCAAACAAACTGCATATGTTAACACGTCGGAGTCTTTAGACTCCCCTCCTCTTCCAGTCTGCTGGTCAGGGATATTCACTGTTTGCATCTTTAAAATTTCTGAAAAATTTCACATACAACGGCACAAAATACAGACAGTGGCTACGGAGCATCTCATTGCAGATATCACTGATAACGGAGCATCTCATTGCAGATATCACTGATAACGGAGCATGAAAGACTGCTGGAGGAAGTGGATGAGGACCGTCTGCTGGGCATACCGCTCGAACTCAGGAATAGCGAGTCGACCGCACCAGAAACAGTGCACAGAATTGGCGGGAGCAGCGAAAGGCGCATCAAAATGCCCAAGTAAGCATTTTACGGTGCATACTTTGATGGCATATCCTATATCAACAAGAACCACAACGGTAGACTTCCCTCGAGTAGTCTTTCAAATCGTCAGTTTGAAAAGGAATTGGATGGGAGCATTTGTGTTTTTCCGATGATTAACACTTACTGGCAGTAGTTTTTAGTGACTCTTGGCCGGAATTTTTCCGGAAAAACATGTTGTTCATTTGTATTAGGTTTGGCAGATTTTGACGAAACGCGGGCCTGATTTACATACTTAAAATCGCGATCCACCTTTTAATAAAACTTAGGTAACAACACACCAGCTTTTTCCGTACGATCATGTATTTTTGCGCTAAGTTTGACGCAGTCAGATCGTAATAGCCCTCCCCTCTTCTTCTATGTTTTTTCGCGATTTCGCTTACCACTGTTTTTTTTTTTTCTTTGGTTTGGTGGATACCCACGGAATAGCGGGAAACATTCGTAGTGCTGCCAGGGAAAAGTGCAAAAGTGTTTTGGGCCATATTGGAAGGTCATCACAACACTCCCCGTCTTTCAAGGTCTCTTACATTCCAAGTGTTGTTAAGTTTTTGAATAATATAAAAAGCTCCCTCTATCTGCAGTAGTCCCTCATTCAGCTACAGTCTTACCGTAACGCATTTTCGCAGGTCAGCTTTGCTAACGACATTTTGGTTATTACTCTGTCTTATTGGTGACGCTCGTTTCCTTGCTTTCGCACTTCATTATTCTCGGAGTAATGCTAAGTGTATGATATTTCAACTTCCACTTGTTTGACGCGTCAACTTAATAACGGCAGTCATCCACAGGAGGGGTATGCTAATAAGCATGTAAAAAATTCCTGGGTTTTCTGACTCCATTTTCGGATATGCCTAGAATAGTAGAAGGATTGCTCTTAAGTGTCATGTGCCGGAGGACATTTGATGATATAATCTGTGTTTCATCCTTTAGCTGTAAACACAAACCGAGCAGTGTATGCGGGTAGGGGCCGGAATCATCATTACAGCCTACTACTCGCCATGCACTGAACAGTAATATGACTAATTCGCAAGACAGATATGCAAGAGAAAGAGGAATCAGAGAGAGAAAGAGCAAACAGAGTGAGAGTGGAAAGAAAGAAGAGCATCAAGAGACGGCCAGGCAGCCCGCAGTGTACCCGCCAAACGCAGCAAATTTTTAAACATACTGTTATATGAAAATTGATTTGCAGAGCTTTGGAAGCACTTATCGGCCATGCCAATGTTATCTATGCAAAAGGACAAACGAAAGAAGCAATTGCAATGCTTCTTGAGGTTCGCTTCTCATTGCACTGTGCTGAAATGGACGGACTGATTGCTTCCTTTTCCAGTTCCTGTAATTTATATAGGCTCCTTCAGCAGTTTCCTTTCAGAACGTTTATTGTTGCTGTTTAAAGGTAATCAGGCAGGAGCCTCGCAATCCAGAAGCATACCGACAGGTTGCCGACATCTATAACGATTTGAACAGCCCTTATAAATCGCTTCAGTACGGTCTCCTTGCAGCGCATTTAAATGGCACACGAACTTCAGCTGTCCAGTGGGCAGATCTTGGTGATCACGCTTCAAAATTGAAAAAAACTGAGGAAGCCGCTGCATGTTACGGACGAGGTTTGCAGTGCAATCGTTTCTTTTGGGTTTTTTCTTTTAGAGTGAAGTGTGTAAATCCGGGCATTGCAGCAATACGGGCCGATCCAGCGAATCATGCGTACTACGAAAAAAGAATTGAAGCTTTGGAAAAAACCGATCTCAAGGCACTTGCAATGCGAACACGATTTGCAGCTGCTCAGGCAGTTGATCACACACAAGTTCCCTTCGAATGGTTCAAGGATATAATCTTCACTGTGAGTTAATTTCTTTTGCAAAATTTATAGATTATAATGGTGCGCATGCACTGGTCAGCGTTTTAGCATCGAGAGGATAACGGGGTTGCAGCTTTTTATGCGTTTTTTGCAGCAATGCAATGCGAAAAACGCATATTGACGAGAGGTTGTCTGTGTGTATGTGTGTGTGTGTC